TTGCATACAATACTGTTTTATTACTGATGTTCAAGGAATAGTTTGAAATTATGGGAAATGTGCCTATTTGTGCATTGTTTACTTGTTATTTCCAGGCCTTGTGCTAAGCTAAGCTAACCAGCTGCTGGTTTTAGCTTCATATTTACCGTACAGTTATGAGAGTGGTATCAATATTTTCATTTAACTCTCTCCAATAAAGAAAATAAGCATCATTTCTAAACTATTCCATTAAATTCTGACAAAGCGCACTACTGATGACAGTGATTCCTTTGAACAGACCATCTCTGCAAAGACCATCACAGACCAGATATCCTCATTTAATAGAACTGGGGGAGAGGCAGCTAATGAATGCAGGTGCATGTTAGCTTAGTGTTTGAAGCAGTGTGACTGCATACAAACTAGCCTCGGGACAGGCTTCTGTAAATACTACAGGCCTCATTTGTCCCTCAAACCACATCTGAGGGTGGATGGGGCAATTAATTGTATGAGCATCTGCTTTTATCCAAACCACATTGGAAAGTGGTTGCACCAAAGTGCCAATGGTACATGCTATTCCAGAAGAGTGGTGCACCAGTATGTTTTTTTTATTTTTCTGAGAAACTTCTCACACTGACTGGATGGATGTCATCTTTCTGCAGTGAACAGAGGGTCTACAAGAAAAAAATAAGATAACATGCCTGCCATTATAGACAGTCCTTTTTCGTTGCTAAGAGTTACGAAAGAAGAAAGTAAAGTCCCTGACATTTCACCATGTCACCCGTGGCAACTGCTGAGAGCATGCTTCTCAGTGAAAGGTGAATTCCTCTGGGTGTGTGGCCCACCGCTCGCCTTTCTCCTGCCCAGATGCTTAAAATAGAAAATGCTTGCTTCCTGCAGCAAACATATTGTCACTCCCTTATGGCTTAGTTTCAGCATGTAAATGAAGCTTAATAAGATGGTGTTGTTTAGTATTTACATAATATTGTGGCTCAAAGTAGTGGCAATTTTGAACTTTTTATCTCCCCTGGACTATATTATTCTCTTTCAAGAAACTTGAAGACGAAAGTTCACAAGAAAGTGAATCCTTGACATTGGAAATGTCCGTTTACAAAACAATATTACTGCATGGTTCACTTTTTTATCAACTTCGTAGAAAATGTTATAACCTTATTAAATCAAAAAGGTCTTAAGTACAACTTTCCTTCCCCATTATATCTACGCAAAAGGTGTCAAGCAGTGTTATCTTATGCAGTACACCAGGTGTTTGTAGGACCTAAGTCCATGGTTTCTGCATCATATTTTTGGACTACCAGCTGAACAAGAGAATAACCATAGTAGCCAAAGGCTGGTAAATCTTATTCCCCTGTGCCATAAAGCTCCATTAGGGTCCAAAAACTATTAAAAGCATTAGCGGAGCAGCAGCTTCAGTGCTGTGCCCGATTACTACAGCTATACAAATGGAAGAAAAATACACTTAAAGTGTAGAAATACGATTTGTGTCGCATTTGTGGGCGTGTAGCGTGAATAAAACACGAGCTGTTACACAGCCTGTGTTGACAGCTGTATAGATTAAAATAGATTTCTATTTTGACAACTGATAAACTCGGGTGAATTACCTCCTGTCAACAAACTGTAAGACACCAAGCGTGTATTAATCCACAACTGAAAGCAGTCCCAAAAAAATCACAATATATACTGATTTGAAATGCACTTAGAAACCAGTGTTTTTTTTAAGAAAATTAAAGAGCAGTTAAATTAAAGAGGAATTTGCTGACAATCAGAAAATGCATGAATAACACCAGTCTTATCCTCTAACTGGTTGTACTTCATGTTAAAAGTAACTGTATTGCCGTTTCTGACAGACAGCTCATCCCCCATCGAGGTTGTTGCTTGGAAGGCTTGTGCCGTAGACTCCAGCTCCTAGAGAGCAATCAGAGCGAACCTTATTAGCCTGAGCCTGCATGCGTAGTCACTGTCCACTCCTCTCCACACTATGATTTAGGATGAGTGAGTGATTGAGCAATGCCTTGCTTTCCTCCTTCATGGAAAACAAATGCACACACACACACATACGACTCTGGACCATCACTTAACAGTTGCCATGACAACGTTCAATACCCCTTCATTCCAAAACACATTGCAGACTTTCTAAAAATAATGTGTTGTCTTTTCTCGCAGACTCCTCTCCAGACGACTGCCTTCAGAGCAAATCCTTGTACAGTACAAGGTGAGACTGTAGAGGTATAGGGACTGATTAATGAAATTACCTCGAGGGAAATAAACACCTACTGTATTTTAGTCACTAGCTTTGTGAATTTCTGCTGCAATCTAATTATTGGTTGGTGACCTGAGAGACGGTCAGGTCAGAGTCTCCATGAAGCCCAGTGGCTAGACGGCTCTGGCTCTGTGTTGTTCCGGAGTCTGAAGCGAGACACGGAGCATTGAGCCAACATAAATACAGCAGACTCTCAGTGGGACAGAAGGAGTGAGGATACTGTTGGGAGTGCGGAGAGACAGATTAAGGACATGTCAGCCACTGCTCAACAGTAGAACAGACAGCCAGCTCATGGATGTGACTTTTACAATGATACAACAAAATTGTATATCTGGGAGAAATGAGCCTTGTGTATTCCGATACCTCATTACAACGACCATCTTCACATCTCTCATAACTATGGCTTCACCTATAGGACACACATATTGAAGCACATGCAAACTACCTTTAAAGGATATTACCAAAACAAAAACAAAACAGTCCACGTTGCAAAAAAGAAGAGAAGAATGGCAAATTTGTGAAATTCTGTAAACAGTCTTGATGTGACATTGTGCAGTTGCATGAGTAAGTGGGCTGATGTGCCTGAAGTCGCCCTCATCTCCGTAGCCAAGAGCGATGAGCCATTCAGCTCTTGGATCTTATGTAACACTACGGGATGGGCTGTCAGTGGGAAGGAAATCAAGCATCGTGTGATTGATTTCAAACGCAGACCATTGTTGTAACCATCATCAGTCTGTGACAAACAATCTGAGAGCGAGAGGAAAACACACTGACCTCGTTTAGCAGTAAAATATCCACAGAAGATCACTTTATTTAGTCTCAAGTAAGCACACAACATTTTTTTTTAAGTGTAGGATGGAATCCAGTTCACAAAGAGTGCGTGCTTGCATTAACTCTAATAATAATGTGCGTTTTTGGTTGAAGGATAACTAGGTGAAGTCATCGCTGTTCAGTAGCAGCTGATAATGATGAGGTAGACAGTGACACACCCAATATGTACATAGCTGGATGTTAAATGGATAACATGCCAGTTGTCAGTCATGCCTGCTAAAAAGACCTAATGCCAGGTAATTGAAAACAGAGACATGGAGAACAACAACCTGCATAGGGTTGTGTACTAAGAAAAGAATCACTACAAATACACCACCTACACAGTCAGTTACTAAACATTACACCTGTGGGTTCAATAAAAAACTCTGCTTTTATAATATTGTGTAAGGACTGCACATTTAGAAGTTAATAATATTTGTATTACTTTGATTAAATGAAGGATATACTGTACAGTACATCACATTTGATAAAGAAAATCAATCTTTAACTACACATACACATTTCAGAATATAAAAATAAACTTTATAAATGTAAACTCAGACTAAAGCGATAATAACCACATATCAGCAGCTTGGATTTACAGTTGTATGGTGTTATTATCTAATACTTGGCGCACTGTTGCTAAGTTACTTGGCATCATGACCATGAATGTAAATAACAGCTGAGGATGATACATACAGTATTATGGCAGCAATAATAATACACACATATTGGACAGTGTCAGCACACAGTATCTCTGTATTATTCGTTTCAATTAATAAATTAAAAAGGAAATCAATTAAGTTTGTCTTTGTTTCATAATCCAAAAATACATATTAGCTTTCAGCTACACGTCCATGTGCTCTGTCCTGGAGAAACACAGGCCACCCTACTTATCTTCACCTCTAAAGTTGAGGTAATACTACGTTTGTAGCCACAACAATACAGTTAATAAGCATTACTGAGATAAGCGACTACAGTACAACAAAACTACTTTACACTAAAATTGACTGGAAACTGATAGCCAAGGAACAAAGATGTTAAAATTCCTCCAAGATGTCCTTTTACTTTTAAACTCTAAAAATGTCACATAACAGTCTATTGGTTAGAGTTTAACAGTCAGCTGAAGCCTATTGAAATACTCACAACCTCTACTGAGGAGAGCATAACACACCATGTCAAGAAAGGTGCATGTGGACGCCTTAACAGTCATAGATCTCTGAAGAAAGCTATCAGAGAGTATAACAGTTCTTGTCAGTATCTCTTGAATATAACTGTTAACAGTTACTTTGCTTATCATCAATAAGTTAAATGTTAGATAACAAAGTCACACACAAAAAGAGGTGTAATGATGTGTAATATCAATAGAAAACAGTAATGATTATGATTAAGTAAGGTGATAGGATTTTCTTATGTAAAATTACATTGCTTTGTCCCAAAACATTTAAGATGTTTTGTAATTTATCACTGTGTTCCAGTTAGATAGTGAGCTGCCCATGCTGGCCACAGTAACCATCACAGTTTGAGTAGTGTGTGATGCCTAATATAATATCTAGTGTTTCACAATTGTGCAACTCTTTTAAGATACATCACAAAGACCACTACAGTCACTGTTATCATTTGAGTAGATATATCAAAGCCGGTATATACAAAAAGACTCAACAGATGTTGCTTTTTCTCAGTGTGAGGCGCTCAGATTACATGTCCAGACTTAGAACAACTTAGACTCAGATCCTCACAGCTGTACAGCAGCAATGCCTGGTAGCTAAACATCCACAGCAAAGAAAATAAACTCTGCGATTGGTCGATCCAATTGTAAAGTGTAACCACACCATACATTTGCTACGCTATGCGACCCCACTCACAGAGCAAATGTACAGCATTCGATGGCAACCACGTCGAGTGATTTGACAGCATCTGCTCAGCAGCTCCCCGCTGTGCGCCTCAGTCAGCCTTGTCCTCGCCGTTCTTGGCCCACCCTCGGCTCATGGCTGCTACCACAATGCTGTACATGTTGAGCCAGGCTTGACGCAGCGGCGCCGTGTATGCCTGACCCAGACTGCACTGCAGCATGTAGAGAAGGGACTCACCCACCATCTGAAGAAGTCCAAAACAAACAAGAACACAAACACACAGAAAAAAAAACATATTTTTCACAGCTCATTCACTTGTGAAATTGCTTTTTGAAAGTTGTACTAAGAAATATTCCCCCTACAGCAAATGACTGTGTGTTGACTCCCACTGCCTGATGCTTCCTCCCAAGGTTGAGCAGAAAGTCCTCCAAGGAGTGAAGGTCATCCAGGTGGCTGACTGCTGCGTCGATCACAAGCATCACCTGGGATCACGTGCAAATACACACACAGAGAGTATCCGCAACTGTGCACTGCACAAACTGTATACTTGTAGTGGTCAGTGCGGTAAACGGAGCTCACCTTGGTGACATGTTCCAGGAACTCAGGGCTGGAGAGGCAGTCTTGTGTGGAGCCACAGTTTGTACTGTAGTGGAAAAGACTGAGGAGCGCAGGGTCCAGCTCAAACAGTCTACCACAGACAAATACCACACTGTTCTATAGGTGTATACACACGGCACGGGTTGCCAAATATCCACACAGACACAAAATCAATCTGTAAATCATACATCTACAAATCTCTCCAGCTAGTCTCTGCTTTAGTGGCAGCTGTCTCAAAGTAAATTGTGGATTATTGCAGTCTGTCGCCAAGCAACAAGTCAAGCTTCCGGTCCCTGCATGATGAAAGTGTGCAGCAAAAGATCTAGCTTGAGTCTCTCTCCACATGTGATACATATTCTAACACCACAGCTATTAAGTAACACAAAAAACAAGCAAGATCCTATTACAATGGCTGTATTAGAATCCATGTTAATAAGCTGCACATAGGTTTACAATGTTTTCTTCTCTCACAAATCACTTTACTGTCTAATTCAATTTGAATCATGCTGATGGTGTAAAACATTACCTGGAAAACATGATGACACCATGAGGAACTTTGTTCTTGCCCAGGCTCTCCCAGCTGCCTCGTATCAGCTCCTTGTCTTTCCCTGACAGCTTCTCCATCCTCCCTCAGGCTGTAAACACGAGACAAGTTCTTCTAGAGGGGAAACACACAACTCCTCTACAGGACGAGAAGGCTCAGTTTGAGGAAAGCCATAATATTCAAGTTAATCCACAGACCAAACTTCTGCGAACCCACCTGGAAAACAAAGTGGAGCATCAAGTGAGCGCAACACAGCTGATCTGCTAGAAGTGTTTCAGATGTAAAGAGGGGGACACGGCTGCAGGAGGTATGATTCTCAGGCTAGAGACGCACAAACATACTGTACCTTCTGACTGTAGGTCAGTCTTCTCTCTGAACTTCTTCTGGTCCAGCCGGGCTGAGGGGTCTGTCTGTGTATGTGTGTGTGT